TGGCTGCTCGGAGCACTAGGGCTCTCCTGACCCTGCCCAGGCTCCCCTGCCCGCTCCCTCCATGAGGCTCCGGGGAGGCCCCAGGAGAGCCCCAGGTGGGCTTTGAGGGGCGCAGCACTGAGGAGCTGCCCATGCCAGGAAGCCAGCCTGGAGTTGGGGACTCTGGCTGAGAGGAGAGTGGTGACTTCTGGCAGGAAGGGGAGGCTGGTCCTGGGGTGGGTGTGAGGCCGCAGTCCCCTCCCGCTGCTGTGTCTCTCTGGGCGCCTCCCCTGGTCCTGAACCCTCTCCCCGTGCCCTGAAGAAAAGCCAGAGCACAGGAGCACTCTATTCCGGCCCTCCCCCATGTCCACACCCCACGCCCATGTTCCACTCTCCACGAGCATGTTCCCACCGGGCGGGGTGACCACCTGGAGGTAGGGACAGTCCTCCGCTCGGCCAGCCCTGGACCCAAGGGGACAGCATAGTGAGGGCTCCCCCTGTCGACCTGAGCAGCTGCTGCCAAGGTCATTTTTGCTGGGAGGGCCCTGGCTCCTGAGAGTGGCGTGTGTGTGTGTGTGTGTGTGTGTGTGTGTGTGTGTGTGTGTGAGAGAGAGAGAGAGAGAGAGAGAGAGTGCACACGCATGCGCGCTAGTGCCCAAACTGGTAGTGGTCTGGAGGGCACAGCCAGGCCCTAGGAGACCCTTCTGTCCTCTACTGTTTCCTGTCTCTGCCTGGTCCTGCTCCAGCCCCCTCCACCAGGAAGACCTCAGACTCCTCAATGCCAGCTGGGCTGCGCTGGGAGGCAGAACCCCTCCCCAGGAGCCTGTCTGTCCAGGCCGTGGAGGCTTCTCCACACCCACACCGCGCTGGCCATGCCCGGTGGGCAGGAGGCCGCCAGCAAGACAACGCACCTTCAGACGTTCCAGCCTCCAAGACCTCCAGGATGGGCTCCCGAGCCTCAGCAGGGCAGAGGCCCCACGCCTGCAAGGGCGCCAGGGCCCCCTTCCTGAGCAGCCTCTGGCCGCCCTGTGCCCAGGCAGGAAATTGCTCTGTCCGCGTCTGTCTCACCCCAGTGCCCCCCGGCCCCGCCCCACACACAGACCTGCTGGGAGGAAGCACCAGGGACCCCCGCCCCCCCATGCTGTGTAAACATTAACTGCCCAGAGGTTGAGCCGGGCACCTGGGCACCCAGGCAGGGAAGGTCACAGATCTGGGCTCCAGGACAGAAGACAGACGAGGGACTAGAAGTAACCATGCCCCCACCTCCATCTGGGAATGGACTCAGCCTCCCAGGCCCCAGATCCCTGCCGCCTGACCACTGCATCTGGTCACCCACTTTCCAAGCCCCTGCATGGCACAAAGAACACCCCCTCCATAATTCGACCCCCAGGCTTCCTGCTGCTTCTCTCCACGAACTCTCTGTTCCAGCCGAGGTGCTCACCTGTCCTGCCACATCCCTCCTTCCTGCCTCTACGCCTCTCTCCTCCTGCCGCTTCTCTTTCATCTTTGTGTATCTTCTTTCTGCTGAAATCATGCCAGCCTCAGGGCCAGAAGGTGATATGGTAGCTAAGTGCACCAGGCTCCCACATGGCCAACCATGGTTCAAATCCCGGACTTGGTGGGTTGCTTTCTCACTTTCCCTCTCTCTGTCTCTGTTTCTCTCTGGTCAAATTAAAAAATGATGATGATGATAAATCAAATTAAATAATTCTTTTTAAAAAATCATGTCAACCTCAGCTCTTCCACAGAGCCCAGCACACCTCAGAACCTGCCGTGTGGGAAGGCCCTGAAGGGTGTTGCCGTCGAGGCATTGAAGACTGAGGGCCACCTCATAGGCTGCAGCACGGCTGGGTCGAGCTCACGTACACGTGACACACGAGAATAGTCCTACCGCCCTGGGGGAGGGGCTGTGTGCGTGTGTATACACGTGTGCCCCAGTCACTGCTGGGCCCTGGAGCCCAGAACCTATTTCTTTTCCTATTTTCTGTAGACCTCATCTCCTCTTTTCCGGGATATGCCAAAGTCTGCGTTGCTATTCTAAGGGAGATTTCCAAAAGTCCTAGGAGGGAACTGCTCCTCATGGGTTTAACTGTCCAATTAACATTCATGTGCAGTGCTGTGTCCAGCCTACTTTTTTTTTTCTTTTTCTTTTTCTTTTTTTTTTGGAGAGATTTTCACTGTAGGGCGTGTGTGCTCACCAGACAGAGAGAGACATAGAGACAGAAAGCGAGAAATCACCCCCCAGGGGGGATGGTTATTTAAAGCCCAGATCTATTGTTTACAAGCTGTGTGACTTGATCTTCTTACTTAGAGTCTCTCTGGCTCAGTCTCTCCTTGAAATGGGGATAATAACAGTTACTAACCCATTGCATTGTTGTGGACAGCACTTTGCACATAGGAAGCATTCCATAAGTGTTAGCTACTTTCTAAAACTACTTGATGATGATGATGAAAGTGAGGGGACCTTTTGAAGCCTGATTTATTGTCTCCCTTTCTTTTTTCTCTATCATTTTAGCCACCCCACCTGCTCCAATCAAAGATCAATGTGCACCCCGCCCCCACCTTCTGTGCTGGGATTCTGGGAAGACATTTTTGTACTTGTTTGTATTGGCCTTTGTGGTGCATTAAAGAGGGGCAGAAATTCTTTGATACCCATTCCTCCCACTGAATCTGGAATGGTTTTTTTTTTTTTTTTTAAAGTTTTTGCTATAGCGTGCCTGGGCTCTCCAGAAAGACAGGCAAAGAGAGAAAGCGAGAAATCACCCCCCAGGGGGGATGGCCACTCCACAATCCCTTCTCCTCCATTCTCCTCTTGGGATCCTGGACATGCACACACACGCGCCCGGTGTGAGTTTAAGCCACCAGGTCCGGAACTCGAACCACAGTTGACTATATGGGAGTCCAGCGACAGCCATTACGCCAACTGCTGGTCGATGAACTGAGTGGTCAGCAAGAGCACTTGAACGTTGCGGGAAGAGGAGACACCCACGGGAACTGCTGAAGACCCTCCCTGTCCAGGTTTACCCAAGGATGGAGGGTGAAGCAGACTTCCCTCCCCTGTGTCCCTGGGGGCCAGCAGCAGGGGGCTGCCTGGTGATTTTGTTCTCTGGCTTCCGTTGGTGCGTTCCCGCATATATACCTGCCCTGCACGATGTACCGCGCCAGGCACCATGGCAGAGGCTGAAGACTGACCCCATGCTGGGCACGGGCCATCTAGCAGAATCATGGCAGGGCAGTTTCTGGACGAGCCCTGATCGTGGCGTGAGCCGAGAGCATGGCCTGCCGGGGACAAGCGAGCAGGCTAGCGGTGGCCTGGTACGTAGCCAGGACTTCATGGACAAAGAGGGGGACTGTGTACCTGCTGGTAGCAAGTGTCCGAGTTTTGCCAGTATTCTTTTAAGTTTTTGCTATAGGGCATGTGTGCTTACTGGGGGTGGGGGGCAATGAGACATCATCCCCCGTGGGGGGTGGCCATACCACAGTCCCTTCTTCATTCTCCCCTTTGGACTTGGGACACACACATATGCACCTGCAGTGGCTTTCCAGCTGCTGGGTCTGGGACTTGAACTGCACATAGGCCATGTGGGATCCAGCAGCTTAACCTCTGCGCCACCTGCTGGCCTTTGCCAGCATTCTTGAAGGAGGGCGTAAGATTGTTGCTAAGACCCCTCTGCACTTACACCTACCCAAGGAGGGAGGGTGAAAGCAAGACTCCGATTTTGCATCTGCCTTCAGGGTGAGGGGACTGGGAGGCTGGGCCAGACTGGATGGGGGTCTTGAAAACCACCAAGGAGTTGACTGGCGACAGCATGGCCCGGGCAGAGCCGTGGTTTGCAGAAAGGCAAGCAGCAGACTGGCTTACTGGGCGTTGGGAGGCAGGGCTGAGAAGCCGCAGCAGAGGTTACATAGATCCCAGAGAGGTCTGGCCATGCTGCAGAGGTCCAGGCCTTGACCAGGGGTGACAGCTGAGATGTGATCTTTCAGGGTGACAGCACACGGAACAGATGGAAAAGAGCATGGCCGATCCTCAGGGAACCAGCGAGGAGGAGCCCAAGAGGGCGGGAAAAGTGGCTCAAGAAGGAATGGGCCGGCAGATGGTGCAGCAGTTACGTTGCTGGACTCCCACATGGCTAACAGCAGTTCAAGTCCTGGACCTGGTGACTTAAAAGTGTCTCTGTCTCTCTCTTGCTCTCTCCAGCGAGTGCACGAGCTCTAAGGCCAAACCTCTTAATAATAATAAAAAATTAAAAAAAAAAAAAGAAAAAGAGGAGTGGGTGAACCTCTGTGACGTCCAGCTTGCGGGGCTGAGGACACTGAGGATGGCCTTTTGGCATGGTGACTGGGACAGGGACAGGGTTGAATAATAACAGAACAGAACCAGCCTGTGGGCCTAAAAAGCGAGTGCTGGGGCCAGCAGGCAGTGTTGGCGTTAAGGCGCTAAGCTCCCACGTGGCTGACCGCCGTCAGAGGCCCGGACACTTGACACTCAGGGTGTGTGCGCATGTGCACATGTGCACAAGATCCCGACAGGAGAATGGAAGAGAAGGGACTGCAGCATGGCCATCTCCCATGGGGGGTGATTTCTGGCATTCTCTCTGACTCTGTCTTTCCAGCAGGTGCCCTATAGTAAAAATCTCTTTAAAAAATTAGTGGTTTTCCACTCGTGGTAAGTGAGTGGCTCTCCCCCTCTGACTTCCACTTTGGCTCCCGTCTGCTTCATCTGGCTGCTCTGAGGTGAGGAGAGATCAATACGCAGCTATTCTTAGTGTTGTCAGTCACCCTAGACAGGAAGGAGATTGGAGGCCATGCGACCCCCTCACCGTGTCACATCCTTTAGCACCCCTGCCCTACCACCCTGAGCGCACACCAGGCGCACAGAAGCAAGGAGGCGTTGCAGTGAGGTGTGGCCTGAGGTCGGTGGGAAACCCTCCCATCACACACACATGCATGAAAATCTCTGAAGTCCATCAACACAGATTCATTCCTTGGGCTTAAGTCCTCCATGTCGCCCAGTTCAGAGGGAGTGAGAGTGGGAGGAGTCATGACGCGGTGGGGCATGGTCACTGAGCGCAGCACAGACTGCAGTGAGAAGGGACCCAAGGCCAGAAGCAGGCCTCAGACACCCAGGCCTGGGGGAGGGTGCTCCCTGAGAGGGCACAGGCCTCCAAGCTACCCTCTCTCACCCCGCCCCACTCTCAGTCCCTCCCTGCCAGGTCTCACCTAAAAAGGCAAGGCCGGGAACAGTGAGGGCATTCGAGGCTGGCCCCCAGAGGCCTGCCCGTGCTGGGGAGGCCCAGCAGAGGGAGGGGCCGGAGAAAGGCCGAGAAGAAAGACAGGCCAGACAAAGGGCCCTTCCACCTTTGAAGCTGTCTCTAACCAGAGCCAGGCAGGGTGGGGGTGGGGGAGCCCGGCTGGGGGGAGGCTGTCTAGAGTTTTAAAGAATGTCTCAAATTCCTACGGAAATCAGAAGGATTGTAAGAGCTCCCGCTCCCCAATACACCTCCTTCCCGGCCCCTTCCCCAGCCCCCCCAAAGCTCAGTCCTCCACACCTGGGGGGCCCCCAACCCTTTGTCCACAAGTAATTGCTGGGTGTTGCCCCAGTTTTAAAGACCCATTGAACTCGCCAGTTATCAGCTGTGGCTCCCGACCACCCCCCTATGCACATCCCCAAAACGACCCCCAGTGCCCGCGGTCTTCCCCCGGATTAAGGTTCTTTGTGATGGGAAGGAGAGAAGAAAGCAACCCGGTGAAAGCAATTACAAGATGGAGAGAGAATGTCTGTCCGGGAGGCTGGGGACCTCCCTCCTGGCTGCGGCCAGCCCACCTTCTCGGCTCGCCCAGGTTGGGGGTGTCTAGCTCGGCTCAGCCCTCCCCCGGCTCCCACTGCTGCTGCGCCGCACCCCCCCGCCCCTCCACAACTTTCCAGCCGTTCCCGGGCGAAGTGCGCAGAGGGGGAGCCTTCTCTCCCCACAACCCACTACCACGCTCCGCCAGGAAGAGAGGAGAGGGGAAACTGAGGCTGGGGGTCGCGGCCCAGGGGAGGTCTCAGCGAGGTGCACCTCCAGAAGCGCGGACCGAAGGGGCTCCGCGAGGAGGGGCCTCCCCCAGGCTAGATGAAAGCCGCGGCCCGGAGGGAAGGGGCGGTGGCGGCGCACCTGGAGGCTCGCAAAGCCCACCCGAGACGCGGGGCGGGGCGCCCTTCCTTCCTGCCCGCCACCCCTCCGCCCCTCCGCCCCCGGCCCAGCCCGCGCCGCCGCCGTCTCTA